TCATCTTGAAGCTGCTGGATTGTCATTTTATGCTGCTTTGTTATTTTTAAAGTTCTATTCTTTTATGATCGCTAATTGCAATCCTGTCCTCAAGGTCTGAAATCCTATCCTCAGCTTCATTTAAACAGTATTGCCAGCTGTGAATAGAACCTTTTGTTTCTTGGATGTCTGTTTGAGTTTGTTTCATGAATTCTGCTTGTTTTCTATATAGTTCATTCAAAGTTTCAATCAGTTTCCTGTGCTCCTGTACTTTTTTCTCTATTTCTTCTTTAGTTGCACTGAGCAACTCCTTTTCAAAGATTGTTATTTCTGTCTTTACATGGGAGTGTACTTCTAATTTGTTTTCCTCTATAGCCTCATAAAGTTTTTTTTTTTTATTTCACTTGCTATCTTTTCAGAGATTTCCAGTGTGTTACTTTTGAAGTCCTCTATTTCAGTGTCTCCTGTACTTGCTTCTGGTGAAGTATTAGTTTGACATTGCATTTTGCTTTTTCATTTTGCCATTTTCCCCTTTTGAGTTAATATTTGGTCCTTCAATCCCGCTAGTGTCTACTGTTGGTAGTGTGTATCTTGGGGTCCTACTGTAAGGTTGATGTTTGTCCAATTGTTGGGTCCCTCAATGAAGAGATCAACAGTCACCTGACTTCTCTCTGAGGGGCCTGTTGGGTAAGTCCTATATTCTTCCTGGGCTGACAAGCCTAGTAGTATTGATATAGGTCAACTTTTAGTTCCTGCTGTTACTTTATCTTCAGGTTATTCCAGGACACCAAATCTCCCTGTCTATAGTGTTTGCATCCATTGAGGCCCTACTGTGTCCCAATTGTGTGCCTCTATGTTTCATAAGCCCTTCTGATTTTTCTTGAAGTTGGGGAAGTCCTTATTGGCACACTCCTCATACTGCCTGATGTTCTCGGTGTGCAGGAGTGAATTACCCACACTCTTGCCAGACTCACCAAGGTCTTACAGTTAGTTGGAGGGAGCTTTACTCCTGGCCCTATTTACCCACTGTCTACCTCTATTTTAGGGGCATACTCACCACACTGACTGGAGCCTGCTGAGATCTTCTGTTTTGGGTGAGGCAGTTACTGAATCTCCCTTCAAGCTAGCACAGTTAATCCACTGTAGTCAAGGTTCTGGGATAAAGGGTGGGAGCTGAAGATCAACAGAAGTATTAGGTCCAGGAGATCTGGAGTGTCCCCAAGGGACCAGCAGATATCCTGGGTCTCAGTGTACACTGGGTGCACGGGATGCATAGTGCAGCAGCATAGGTGGTTCTGGGCCGAGGGATGGGCTGGTGGCATGAGTCCAGGTGTCTGCAGTGTGTGGGAGAAGTGCAGCGTTGCGGCGTACATGGTCCTGGGCCAAGGGGCAGGCCAGTGGCCTCAGTCTGGGCGTCCACGGAGCATGTGAAAAGCATGGTACAGCAGTGTATGTGGTCCTGAGCTGAGGGGCAGGCTGATGTTGTCAGTCTGGGTATGCACGGGGTGCTCTCTTGTTTTGAAGTCCTATATTGCTTTCATGGTTTTGTTCTGAGTGGATTCATTCTGTTTGATCCTGTTTGGTCCTATTCTATAGTGAAGCTATAACTTCAACTGGTTGTTGAAGTTGTAAGACAAATGCCAGGAGAAGCACAGGAGCATAGTGATTGGAGCCTGCCGAGGTCTTTTTTTTTGGGTATGAGGTCACTGAGTTTCCTCTTCAACTCAGTGTGGTTAATCCACTGCAGTCAAGTTTCTGGGAGGAGGAGTGGGAGCTGAAGATCAAGTACTTGGTCTAGTAGATAGGGAGGGTCACCAAGGGCAGAGGCTGTTGGTGCAGTGTTCCTCCAGGCCAGCAGGAGTCACACAGAAAGTGTGCAGTGGCAAGGGCCAAGATCCGAGGGCTGCATGGCATTTCTCAGGGCCAGCGGGAGTTGAGCAGGAAGCGTGATGTGGCGCAGGCCAAGGTGCAAAGTTGGCTTGGTGTTCCTCTGTGTCAGCAGAGTCTTGTTCAGCACGCAGAGGTGTAGGCCTAGGTCCGAGGGCAATGCGCATCTTTATTTCTTTTTAAATTAGATATTTGTTATTCGAATAATGGGCTTCTTTGGAGGATTTGTTCAAGCATACAACATAGTTGGACAATTTCCACCTCCTTCACCCACTTTGCTCCCCACCCCTTGCCTCCCTAATGTTTTCTTTTAGTGTTCTCTTCCCACCCTTTTTTTAGATTCCACAAATGGAAAAAAACATATTTGTCTTTGTGAGTGTGGCTTATCTAAAATTAATATGCATTATATATAATATATCATGTTTTCTTTATTCATCTGTTGATGGGTGCTTATTCTGTTTTTATAGCTTAGCTATTCTGAATTGTGCTGAAGTAAGCTTGGGTATGCAGGTGTCTTTCGTTATGTTGGCTTTCGTTCTTTCAACAGTGCACTGAGGAATGTTATAACTTCATCAAATTTCAGTTCTGTTTTCATTTGTTTTTAGGAATCTCCATACTGACTTCCATAGTGGCTATAGATTTACATTTCCACCAAAAGCATATTAAGCATTCTTTTCCCCTACAACCTAATCGCATTATTGTTTGTTTGGGCATGGGGGTTTTTGGTTGTTGTTGTTGTTTATTTTTTATTCTTCATGATAGCTGTTCAGACTAGACTGAGATACAGTCTTGATGTAATTTTGATTTTCATTCCTCTCACAGCTAAAAATGTTGAACATTTTTATGTATGTCTTGGCCATTTGTAATTCTTTAAAGGAGAGCCTTTTTAGTTCATTTGCCTGTTTATTGATTGGGTTATTTAGTTTTTTGGAGGTTTTTTTTTTATACACTCTATATGTTAATCATCTTTCCAAAGAGTAGATATTAGTGATTTTTTCCTATCCTTTGTGTTTTCTGTGCTATTGGAGTCTTATTTAGGAAGTTGTTACCTGTTGCCTATATGCCTTTGCTCTATTAGGAAATTTAGAACATCCCTGAACTTGCTCTGGACTTGAAGATTTTTTTTAAAGTTCAAAGCAAATGTGTGTGAAAGAACATCTGGCAAAGAGAACTTTCTTCATTGCATAATGCTGTTTTCCTACACCCTCATATGAGTGTCTGTGGAGCAGTTTGACAGGTTTGGTAATTAATTAATGATGAGAGAGTGAGCCATGTATCTGAGGAGCACAATTTGGGTCCTTGGTGCTTCTTTTTTCCCTGTGTCTGGCAAAGCTTTCAGAGTCTAGGACCACTAATCCCACAGTTGTGTCTCAACTTAAACACTTGTGTTCAGGCCTAATTAGCTCAGAGATACAAACAGATTGGATGGTCAGGGACAGAAGGCTTAGTGTTGTGCAATGTAGTTTTATTATCAAGACTTTTGAAATATCTGTTGGAAAAGTACACCAAGACCTTTGAAATGCCTTAACTCAGAATTTCAAAAGTATTTACTTGAAGTTGAAAGTTTTGTGCATTTTCTTGTTGTTAAATTTTTCTCTTCATAACATTTTACATATTTTCTCAATTACGGAAAAGCTGCACGAAGAGTACAAAGGTACCCATGATTTTTGGGTACCCCAGATCTGTCTGTTGTTTTCATTTTCTTCAATTTGTTTCTCTTACCCTTTTTGCCTTCCTTTTCAGACAAGCATGGCCACACATACATCCACATGCACACACACATTCAAATGTGCATTTTTTCTTTATGTCAGAACAAGGTAGAGATTATCAGCCTCCTTTACTCTTGATACTTCAATATGTATTTCTTAAGAACAAGGACATTCTTCAAAATAAGCACAGTAGATATATCAAAATCCTAATATTTAATATTTTTACAACATTACTGACTAACTATTTCCACTTGTCATTTGTCTCAGTAACATTTGTTCATGGTAATGTGTGCATTACTCTGGTCTAGGATAAAATCTACGATGATGTATTATTTAGTATTTTGTCTCCTTTAAACAAGAACAGTTTCTCAACTTTGTTTTTTTGCAATTTGACAATTTTGGAGAGTTCAGATGAATTGTTGAGTGTTACTACACCAACAAGATGTAGTAACCAGATGTGGTTGGATACTTTTGTCAGGAATGTCACAGAAATGGTGTTGTCTCAAGGTACCTTATGAAAAGGCAGGGTTTTGTTAAATTAGCTGTGATAATTTGATTACTTTGGAGTCCTTTGGTTTTGTTTTTGTTTTACATTGAACTTGCACTTTTCCACTTTATATTTAATGAGACATTTGTGAAGAGATACTTTGATATTGTAAGTACCTGGTATTTCTTCAGAGCTTCAACTACTAGGTTTAGCAACCATGAGGATTTTCTGTCTTGTTTCTTCTTTATTGATTAAATTTCTGCTGTAAATTTCTTTGTCATGTATTCATTATTTGTTTGGATCAGTGTGGACTCTTAGGTTCTTACTTTGTTCAGTGATTATAATTCATCTCTCTCATTTATTTTGATGCACTGAGATTTGGCCAGTGAGAACCCTTCAAGATGACCCCTGGTCTTTGTGATAAGTTTCTTTCATTCTTTGAGCATTTCCTTATTTTCTGGCATAAGAAAGTCCAGATTCATTTTATATTTTCTTTCTCATCTCTCCAATAAACGTTTCTCCACAGAGTCTTGGTTCCTTTTCCTGAAGAATGATACTTAGAAGCTCAGACCTAGAATATGCATGTACATGCGTTTTGAAAGAAACTATGTATGAAATATTACATATACTAATTCATTGTGTACAGTGTATATGAATGTATGTGTGTTTAATGTTATGAGTTGCAGACAGAAGAGCATTTATTTTACATGTAATAATCATAAGTTTTGACAAGAAAGAGAGACATTTTTCATTTAGCGGTGAATGGCATTACACAGTTTTGAGTACTAAATCATGTTGACATTTATGAAGGAGCAAATGGAAAATGGGGAAGTGAGTATGTTAAATATAAAGCTATCTTTAACTGTTCTATTAAAAAAGCAAAAGATTTATTTTCCATCTGTGATCTGAATGTGCCTATTTGTGTTCTTTTCACGCAGTGGAATTTCTGTGGAGCCACACAACGGAGAGCATGTGTGTTGGATATATGTCAGCCCAGGATGGGAAAGCCAAGGTAAGCAGAAAAAACTGGGTCATAACCTGAAAACCTCGTAGTCATTGCCTAAGCCTCTAATTGGCTAAGTTGTTAGGGATGAGCCTTCAACTCTCTTGGGTGATAATTTTTATACAAATCAGATTGAGAGCAGTCAGTGATTCTAAAGAAAAACAGCAGATCTTTTTGCCTTAGGTGATGGATAGAAGAGCAAGGGGAATTAGAAATCACTTTTTTTTTTTCTCCTTTGCCCATCATGAATACTTATGTAAGAAGAAAAGGAGACTGGAAATAGAAAAATCAGAGTAAAGCTGATGAGCTAACGTAGATAGGTTATTCTCCAAGGAGTGTTGGAATAGATATAGGAAACTAAGGCCAAGTAAAATTAGCCCCCGGAAAGCATTTCTGCATGCTTGATGGTAGAGGTGGCCAGCATGCTTGCAAGTACAGCCTGGCTTACGTGTCATTGTCTTCTGCCACGCCCTGGCATTGTGTTCCCTTGGGCAGAGTCAACTGTGTTGCCCTGTGTGCCACATATGCATGTGGCATATGTCCCTCAGTGAGTCACAACAATCACACAGGTATCCAGGCATCAATTCTTGAGTTGCTTGTTTTTTCTGGACTCATAATGGTTAAACCTAGGAGTAAAAAATATAATTTATGAATTTTATTTTATATTGGCCTTGTAATTTTCTTTTCTCATAAGATATTTCAAAAATACCTCAGTTGCAAAGTTAGATAGGGTTTTTTTTAAAAAGGAAATTATTTACTTTACATATTTGGAAATACGTTAGGAAACTTCTGGTCTAAGCTGTCTCGTACAGATTGAATCATAAGTGAAGGATAAATGACATTTTGGTTAGTAATGCTCTGTGTATGTGAGAGTAGTCCTCTTAAGATTTATGTTGCTTACTGAGATCATACACATCTTACTTTTTTTTTTTTTTTTTTTGTCTTTTTCGTTTTTTATCGGTACCAGGGATCGAACTCACATTCTATGTTTATCCAGGGATGAAACTGCCTAACACAAGTACTCAGAATGTATCCCAGTCATTAAGCAATGCATGCCGGTAGTTTATTGTTTACTGTCATATAATACTCATCCATATTGACATTGTTTAAAACTAGTAGCTTATAGCTTCACAGGACTTCTGTGAGTGTGGTATGCAAGTATATTTGATCAGAAAAAGATTGGCTTATATTTATAAAAGTATTACTGAGACTTTTTTCTCACCTTTATATGATACAGTATTTATATTGTGTTATCAGACCTGTTTCATTAAAGAATGCATAGAGATTGCTTTCTTTCATAATCTATAGAGAAGATAAATGTAAACATAATTTTAAAAATAATTTAAGGAATTAGAGAAGCACTACTAGAATTTCTGTGATGATTTGAAACAGTTTTTATCTATGTCGTCTAGCCACATGTGACTATTGACTACTTGAAATATGGCTAATATGACTCAACTGAATTTTAAACTTAATTTAAATACCCATGTGTAGCTAGTAGCTGTTATATTAAACTGTATATGTTTAAAGAATGAATGGTAAAAAGGTCAAATAATGTTTTTAGAACAGCTTTTCTTATCAGTAAAAAACCAGTTGTCAAATATAAAAGTCCTGATCAGCCACAAGAGTGATTACACAAGAATGGGTCACAGGCATTTTAAATTTTTGTCATACTTTATATATTGATCCCGAACTAAGACTAATTTTAACCAAAGAATATATAAGAGATAGACTTCAGGATTGAGGCCAATCTGATGGGGTATGGTCATGTTATGAACTTTTTTGTTACCCTGTGGTGGCTTGTAGATGACATCTTATCATGTGACATAGGATATGGATAGTAAAGAAAGTGGCAAGGTCAGCATAGAGCTCAACGATATTTGAGCTCCAGTCATACTGCTTGACATCTGGTAGATGTGGTTCTCATATGTCAGTAAATACTCCAGCTGGTAGTCTCGATTGGGCCAGCATCTATAGCTGCTCCTCTTGCCTCATTTGCAAATTATGGTTTTGACTTTCTTTGTAGAGAGTTAATTCTATCCTCCTACCCTCTTTGAAACTGTGACTGCAGATGTTTCCAGAAAAACAAAACAACAGCAACATGCTTTAGCTCCTAAATTCTGTTGACAAAAACCAATTTTTTTCTTTCTTGCTGAAGGCTGGAATGTTATTTTATTGCCAAAAAGACCAAGTTATAGATTAGAAACTTAGTTATGGGGGGGGTATTAAAAGCTCTGGATTTCTCCTAATAGACCACTCCACTCCCCCTACACCCTGACACATCTGGGGTTTCTAGCTTCTGTGAGAGAATTGTATTGGGTGACCTATCCATTTAGCATAATGACTGGTTTGTGAATATGTCTCCCATAATACGGAGAGCTAAGATAGTAAAATCAATTAGGAAACATCTTTAAACCATTTTTTAAAAATATGAAACTAGTTTTTTGTTTTAAAAATGATTTTACTTTGTGGATAACCTTTTTTCCCCCTCTCCTTTTCTTTTTTAAAGGAAATTATTTACTTTACATGTTTGGAAATACCAAGTAAAGAAACTTCTGGTAGTAACTTTTGGGTATAGAATGACTCATGAACAAATAAAGGATAAGTGACATTTTGGTCAATAACATTGTGTGTATGTAAGCATGGTCCCCTTAAGATTTATGTTGCCTACTGATAGCGTAGACATCTTATTATATATAAGTACATTCTGTGCTGTTCATGCAGGGGTGAAATTTCCTAACACACAATTTCCAAAGCAGTAAATTTACCTTCTTTCTCCTTGATACAAATTTGGGCATTTCTACCTGAAAACTTAAATATTTTATATAAGCTAGCTGTACTTAATTCAAGTTAAAAGTTTGAATTAAAGCCCACTCAAAATGATACTGCTCAGAAAATATTGGATAACAATATTGTAGTGAACAGAAGCCATGTGTAACATGAATAGAGATAGATTCTTTTCTTTTTAGAGGCAGTGAGGGGTGAGGGTGGAAAGAGATAACGGGAAATCAAACTCAGGACTTTGTGCTTTCCAGGCAGGTGCTGTGCCACTGAGCTACATTCCCAGCTAGAGCTAGATTCTTTTATAAATTTCTTTTTTAAAAAATAATGTTCTTTAATAAACTCTAAGTACAAAGTCATGTACAGTCATATTAACTTATTTGGAGAGTTTTAAACAATGAAAAGAATATTTTCTGCTAACAAAAAAATGTTCTTACATTCTTTAATTAAATTTTAAAATCCCTTCTGTAGCATAAAAAGGTTTTTTATGGAATCAAACTTACGGTATTGATACTAGTTGAATTAAAAAGCTGTGTTGCTCATATCCTAACAGCATAGCAGACATTTAATGGACAGTTTAGTAAGTGCCCAGTGTTCATGAACTCCTGTAATAAAATAGATATTTAAACTAGTATAGAACTTATTTAAGTGTAAGTGAAATTAGGTATCTTTTTATATGCAGAGGTCACTTTTTAAAAGAATATAAAAAATACTGCTTTGAAAATTCATATTTGCAGAGAAACAGACTATTAAATGGTTTTAAGGTTATGGAAAAATAATAACAGTATAATGAACAATATCTCAGCTGTGTATGTGATCAAAATTCATACCACCAGTGAGGGACAGATGAATAGCATGCTCCTGGGTGTGATACCCTGGTAAGGAAACAGATGACTTGTATAGTGTTTTATTTAGAATGATATAATTTAAACCTAATCTTGAAGAAATAAAGCAACTCAAACAACATACTATGAAGAAAAAGGATCTGTGTTCTTCAAAAACAGCTGCAACATAAAAGACAAAGGCTACAGAAATGTTCCAGGTTAAATAATACTAAATTTGTAAAATGGAATATGGATAGTAAAATAAGTTATTGTTATTAATTTACTGATGTTAATAACTGCATTGTGGTATATAAGGAAATACCCTTACTTTTAGGAAATACACGCTGAGGCATCTGGGCGTCTTGGATGGATGGATGAGTGGAAAAGATAACAAATTACCCACTAATGGGCAAAATGTTAACAGTATGTGAAATCTTGGTAAAAATTGTATGAATGGATATTCTTTAAACTATTCCATAATTTTAATATTACTTTTCAACAAAAAGTTTCAAAATATACCAGTCTTGCATATTATAGCACATTGGATGACTTCCCTGGTCTTTGCACTTGAAATAATGTATTTCAAAAAACAGTATTATTTGGACAAGATATCATGCTTATATCTTGTACTTGGAATAACTACTACAAAGATAACAATAAACAGTGTATTAACTATTATAATTCTCCTACTAATGTATTTTGAAACTTTTTTTCTTTAAAATAAAAAAAATATACAACACTTTTGATTTATCTCTTTTGGATGAATGTTACATTTCTCCGAACTGTTGCCTTTTTCCACTGAGGTTTTGACTGGATTGACCATCAAATATTCATCTTCCTGTTGTAGTCTTCTTTTCTGACTGGGCTTGGATGTTAAACTTTTTTATTATTGAAGTCTTATCACCTTGTAATTTTACTCATCTTTTGTTTTGATTTTTTAATTTATTTAAAAAATATTTGTGGACATTACTCTACCTTTGTGCCAAGTCTCGTACCATACTTTGACACATAGTTATGAAACAGATATTGACCATGTCACCTTTTCCCTTTCTTGTGCCATTATCTCTTGTATTAGATAGTGGCTTCTTAATTATTACCACAAAAGCATGTGCAACAAAAGAAAAATAAGGTGTCATCAAAAATAAGATGTCATCCTCAAGAAAGTGAAAAGGAAAAATAATATCATATGTAAGGGACTTTATCTTTTGAAAATACTCATATATAGAAAGATCTTTGGTATCTCAGTAATAGGAAGACACAAAATAGACACGGGATTTAAATAGACATTTCTCCAAAAGAGACATGTAAATAGCAAATAAATACATGAAAAAATGACAATATCAGTAGTCATTAGAGAAGTACAAATCAAAAACCACCATTAGATTCTAATTTCTACTCCAAAAGATGACTATAATCAAAAAGCTGAAAAAATGTAATGGATGTAGAAAAATTGGAACTCTCATATATTACTGGTGAGAATACAAAAATGATGCATCCCTTTTGGGAACATACATACGTATGTTTAAAGGTTATGTCCTTCAAGTATTAAAAAAATTCTCACTAATCTCTCTTCGCGTGGAACAAGGATACTTCATTCATAAGTCCAGCTACAATTGAATTGAATGGAACCATGCCTTTGATGGCAATGGTGAGTCACATAAACCCCAAAAATAAAAAGATACCAAATGCATGAAATTGCAGTTATGTTGATCATGGGCCAGTATAGACATTAGTCCTTTGAGATGTCTTATTTAAAGCGAACAAATAAGTGGTTTTAGGGTTATGGCCCTGAAGTAAGAACCAAATGTCTCTTAAACATCGTTATTAGAAACCCCAATATGTTATGGGGTGAGCAGAAGGATCCCTGTCTAGTGGGTTGCTGATTTCACGGAGGATGCTAGATTAAGAGGTTGATCAGGGGAGAGGGATAGTCATATTGACGAGGACTTATTTGACTTAATGGTGCATGTCTAACGATGGAATAAATATATTATGGAAAATAGAATTGCAGTGCTTTGGTAGTGAATAGTTGTATTGTTAAGAAGATAAAGTGGAATAAAAGGTTTAATGGTTTATGTACGGTTATCGTTTAATGTACTTGATATCAATGGGGATAATAATTTAATTTGAACATATAAAGGTTTATGTCCTATCTTGCATGTTATATACTAGTATATCTGTTTAATGGGGACATACATTAATGCATGACATACATAGAGACATGAAAAAGTGCATTGTGTATATGCACATGGGGCAATAGTACCACATAAACATGTATCTATGTTGTCAAGGAATAGTTTAATAAGAATTTCAGTTTTGGGTACTGATGGTGTGGCTTTTTGTCTCTTCTTTGAATTGCGTGTCCTGAGGAAAAATTATTTCCATTTTTGGTTTACAAGATCAGAGTAATTGTTTATACTACTAGGACTCGTCACTTTATGATTTTGTTCTGCTATGCTTACTAGTAGGAAAAGAATTAGGATGGTAAAGAAGTAGAATGTTACTCCAAAAATTAAATGTAGCATTACCATATTACCACAACAACTCCATTTCTATTCATAAATATATTTCAAGAAATTTTTTTAAATATACCATACAAAAAGTGCCAGACAAATGTTTATGGTAGCACTGTTCATCTTAGTTAAAATATGAGAACAATACAAATTGCTGTTGTTCCAATGACTCTTAATTGTCAATTTCCCTAGATTGAGAGATTACTAGAGATAAAGAGAAAAGCTTATGTTTATCTTGGTACCATATGATCATTTTAACTTTTATTCATCATACAAACTTTGACTACTAGGAATTAGAAGGACTTTCCCCATCTTCTAGGGGCATCTACCAAAAAACTATAGTTAATATCATGCTAGTCAGTGAATATAAAATGTGTACTAGCACTGAGAACAATTAGAATGGAGGGTCACTCTCATCATTTTTGTACCAGAATCCCTAATGAGTACAGTAAAGCAAGTAAAACAAGAAAAAGACAAAAGTTGGAAAAGAAGTAATAAAAACTATTATTCTCAGACGACAGACAGTAAATCTGACAAATGATATACAAGACCTCACCCCTGAAAACTGCAAAACCTCGCTGAGAGAAATGAAAGAAAACCTAAAGACGTGGAGAAATATGCCTTGTTCATGGGTTGAAAAGCTAATGCTGTCAGGGTAGCCATTTTTTCCAGATTTTCATGTAGAACCAAAGCAATCCAAACTGTAATTCTAATAGTTTTTCTTAAATAAGATTTTGACGGGCTAGTTTTAAAATTTATATGGAAATTGAAAGAACTTTGCATGGAAAAACCAACTTTAAAAAAAGGAGATGAAAATTAGGGGACTTTCTCATTCTTCATAAGACTACTGCAGGCAAGGCAATGTTCCCTGACCAGAGAGACAACTTTGCACTCAATATATTAGAAGCTCCGAGGTCAGAAGAAGTACCTGCTTAGTTTTCTGAGCATTCCAGGGGAAGGAAAGTCCTGGGTTTATAATGTAGCAACCCACTCCCCCCTATACTGTAGAAATCATTGAAACAGTATTACATAGTACATGGGGACTTGTGTCTCAAGGAGAAATAGGGTTGGTCCACTGTGAAGATACAGAGTAATCACTGACTGTTCATGGGTACAAGATTTTTTTTTTTGAAGTGATAAAAATGTTGTGAAATAAAAAATTTGTCAAGCATTTATCCCTATTCTGTTCATTTGGATAGTGGATAGTGTTTGTCATCAGAGGAAAGAGTTGTCTTTACTATAAAGACTTCCATAATGAAAAATTTGAAGTTTTTACTCAACAATTTTAGTTAGATAATATTTGAAAAAGAATGGATACTAATGTGTGTCTTGGTCAGCTTCTTCACAGGTGTACCTATGTGTTTATGTACTTTAACTTTAGAGTAGTGTATGCATTTGAAACTGTTAGCATATTAATTTATTCTTTATGTTCATGTAACATTTAGTAAAAGATACTTTACTAGTGTCTATTAAATTTTCAAACTCCTAGGTTTTAATGTGGTATCTTCATACATATGCATATTATATTTTGATTGTATTTGAATTCCTATTACCCGTTACTGTCCCTGACACTTCTTCCTACTGTCTTTGCAGCATTCTCTCTCCTGCTCCCATTTCCTTCTCCTTACTAGTAATAGTCTTCTTTCTACTTTCATATCATCTTTTTTAGATTCCACGTATTAGGGAAAGCATGTGACACTTGTCTGTCTGCTTGTTTCACTTAACATGATGTTCTTTAGTTCCAACTTCTGTCCTGAAAATGACATAATTTTGTTCTTTCTGTGATTGAATAATACTTGAGTGTGTGTGTGCGTGCACACGTGCGTGCATGCATGATCATATGTGTGCCACATTTTGTTTATCCATTCATCTGTTGATGTTTATCAAACATTACCAGTGTTAACTATTAAACACATAATTCCTAGTAACTATCATGTGTGTCCCATAATTTTACTTTGTTTTAGTTTGTTTAGGGATAGAAAGACTTTATCACACAAAATTGCTGTTTTAAGGAAATGATTTTTCTGAAATTGAAGGAGAATCATTGAAACCATATTGGCAAAGTTATTCTCTTTTTTAATTTATAAGGTCTTTGCAGTATAACTGGCTTAATAAGTACTTCCCTCTCCTAAATGTAAAAAATATAACCAAAGTAAAATAGATAACTGTGCAGTATCGAGGCCATGAAGATAGTAAAAGATTTTCTTAACCTACTTTCAGAAAATAAAAGGTCAGTGAATATAGAATAGGGATAAATTCTTGACCAAGTGGTTTTTTCATTATGTGTATAAATATTGTCTGTGCATGGTGGGTGTGTGTTGTAGGGAATTGAAGCAAAAGCCTCGTACATGCTACTGCTGATCTGTACCATCACCCCGGAAATCTTTATGATGATTAATTTTCTCAAACTGATGCCTAAAGGCCTCAAAAAGCCATCCTAAATATTTATCTAAATAAAACAGTTTATAAAACTTTAATGGGGGCTTTCTATATCTAAAGTAAAGCTCCAAGGTAACTTCTAGAGTTAAATAAATTCTTTTCTGTATCTTAAAAAACAAGAACATTATGTTCTGTGAATGAAGCTAATATAAAAGAATACTTGGAGAGTTATTCCACTTGTATGAAGCTCTGGCAAAACTGATTTATGGAAATCCAAAAATTATCAAAAAGGGGGCCTAAGGGAATTTGGGGGAATAATAGGAACGTTCTATATGGAGAATTTTCCCTTTATGTTTTGGTTTTGTGGGTATACAGATTGTCAGAAGTCATCAAACCTTTTATTTAACATCTGTGCATTTTATTGTATATAAATTATGCCTCTATTTTTAAGTCTGAAAAAATGGTATTAACAAGACCATACACACAGAGCTTGTGGAATGATTGAAAGAATGAGCTTTGGATATGGATTTGATCCCACAGACCCTGCTTTATAACCTGGGAAGGCTACAACTCTATTCCTTGCTTATCTTTCAAGAGAAAGTGCTACTGATGCTTGGATAGTGTTCTGAAAATAAACTGAATAATGTAAGTAAGTCACACCTAATAGAGGCTGCCTAGGTTATGGTGGGTGGTTGGTGGTATGGTGATGGTGGTGGGTGGTAGAAGTGGTGATGAATCTCTCTGGTCCTCATGGGCACAGTTCCTGGGCCTCATTTACACTGGAATTGTGCTCTCAAATGTGCCATTTACCATGACTGTAGTAAGCAATGCTGGGAAGCTAACAAAAGACTGCAGAAAATTGAATACATGAAAAACAAACTGTAAGACAGAACTTTCTTCCTCCTTACGTTAATTTCTAACAGTAGTTAGTAATTTTATTTTGGCCTAAATGGTCTTATGCCATCCATTTCTTCTGGATAACTCATATAGTATTGTTCCGTAGGCACTGATAAATCTATGTGGTCCAGTAAAATCACATGAATTTATTAGTGCTCATGGATTTATTGGACTATATTTTAGATTTAGCAAGAGATCCCCTTTTGGCCTTCACCTACAGCAAATTTTAAAGTGCTGTTGATAATGAAGTCCTCATGTTAGCCAGCAACACAGTTTCTGATCTCTGGCAAGAAGTCAGCTGCCAAGATGGTAGGTTAGGTATCACCAAAGAGTTATTTGCTAAGAAAACATCCCAGACAGCTACATTTGGCAAGTGTACTTATATACCACAGAGAAACGTGGCTAATCAGTGATTTCACTTGTACCTTTTAAGTTTGCCTAGAATTTCAACTGTAGATAATTTTGTTTCTTTTTCATGTTCTTAAGGTTGCCAGTAGGATCTGTTGGGTCTGTTTAGAAAATCCTTTAGACAAACAGAAGATTTCAGAAAATTGAGAATGTGAAAAACAAATCATAAGAGAGAACTTTCCTCTGCCTCAAGTTAACTTCTAAGTGTAGTTGGTAACTTTATTTTGGCCTAATTAGTCTTATGCCATCAATTTCTTCCAAATGATTCATCCAGCATTGCTCCAAAGCAATAAATGGAATAACCACAAAGAGGGAATTCACCATGTTGGCAAGAATCTAAATCTCAGAAGTATAAATTATTTATTCAAATAAATCTCATTTTAATCATGGTGTATAGATAGATCTACACAAAGATAAGTGTCTATTACTTAGACTTACAGACTTGGACTTACAGACTTTTCCATGATATTTGAAAGGAAATGAATAAATTTTTTTTTGTTATGGCAAGGTGAAATAATGTAAACATTAGTTTCTGTACCTTTACAAAGTTACATAGTTATCAGTCACAGCTGTGAATTTAACATTAGAATATCTCTTTGTTACCTTCTAGTACTCAAAATTTGGGGCAAATCTGTGCCTTTCCAAGCAGACATGTGCCTGCCGTTTGCCCACAGAACACATAATAACCAGGGCACACATGTAAGTAAGTGTACTTAAGAATGATTGACTTTATTACCCACAGCCAGTGAGTAATAAGTGCATAATCTACATAAGTATTTTTTCTTTTTGGAAAGCAGTAGAAAGATGATAAAAGGAATTTTTTTTCCTTTTCATATCGAGAAAAAAAAAGGCTAGAATCTTCATCATATCATTCTTAATTTATGCTAACTTCCTAATTTGAAACAAGCTAATTGTTTCTTTAATTGTAAATATTTAGGATCCCCTTTTGATTTTGTTACAAAAACTTTTATTGCATTATGTCATTTAAATAGGTAAGTCATAAGAATGGAAAGCACTAAGAATACAGTATATGTGAGAGTACCAGTGACCATATAGGGCCTAGCACATTGTAGCTGTTTGTTGTTGTCAGAGGTGGCAAGGAGAACAATTAAATACAAGACACATAATTTATAGTATTATTTATAATGGTCACCCACGGAGTCAAATACAAAGAAAGTGCAGGAAATTTATTCACAACACTAAAGACCTAGAAAATCCAGCCAAGGGCCTGGATCCCATGGCAATCACTTGCATGAGTTCAGCTAAAAACTTAGAGCCCACGACAATGACTCATACAAGTCTATTTCACAGATCTGTGCTGGGTAAGTCCAAAAGTCAGCAGTAGAAGCTAAAAAGTCTATGCCAGTGGGGTGAATGATCTGTGCTAGTAAGTTGAGGGTTCTACACTGGAGCCGGGAGGTGATGCTCAAAATAAGGACCAGGGCTCTCCCAAAAAGTACCACAGCCATCCTCAGTGACAATGAGGTCCCCAGCTCCTCCGATGATAACAGTCAAGTACACATCAAGAAACCATCATGACAAGCTTCTCTTGGAGACTGAACAGCACACATCGTCCCCTCAGAGCCAGGAAGCAATGCTCAATATAAGGATCAGAGCTCCCCCAAAGTGAACCGCAGCCATTCTCAGCAACAAGGTCCTGAGCTCCTCCAATGATAATGGCTGGATTCATATCAGGGAAGCTGGCCATGACAAGTTCCTCCAGGGCAACCATCAGCTCCAAACAACAACAATGCTTAGGAGAACCCACAAGGCCACTCTTCCCCTCCAGGTCTCCTTTTTATGCTGGCAGCATTCCTCAGATGGACTGTCCATGCTCAGCATCAAGCTGATTCAGTTCAGCTAGTATTTAAGTTCATCACCAGTTAGCAATCCACTACACCATTTGGTGGATACCTGTTTAATAAGTGATTCCATGTTGAGCTTTAGGGTACAACTTTAAGTTAAAGATAGTTGTTCAGATGCTAGATTTCGTTTGCACTCTCTTTCCTTATCAATAGCATCTATATTTGAGGATCAAAGTTGGATTAATAAAATCAGCTTTGTAATAAAAAATTCATAAAAATTTTAAATTTACATGAAATACTGTATTTTACATAGTTTTCATATGGGATTTAATCATTATAAATTTATATAAAAATATGATTTCTTTTCTTATTTTTTTCCTTCTGTAAGAGCAAAAAGTTTGGCACCACTTCTGTGTGGCAGAAGTTGGTTGGAAACTTGTGGTAGCTATTTCTTTGATGAGTCCTGGGTAGTTCTTTGATACTGTTATCCCTAGCCTGCTGTACTTTTAGATGCTATGTGAGCTTTAAATGCCTTGATTGTTAAAATTTGTAGCATTTAAGTGTGATTCCTGTTATAGATTTGAGCCTTAAACCAAGTCTACCTGTTATAATACATTTTTGTTCCAGTATTATTCATTGAAAAAAGTTTAAAATTTTTTTCATTTTTAGATTTTTTTTTATTAGTGTGTGTTTGTGATGTGTAATAAGTACATTCATTGTGGGGAGTTGATAGGTATACATATCACATCTTAGCCCTTTTTACTTCCTCTTCCTTTGCCTCTCTCTCTTCTCCCTCTATCCCTTAGTCATTTTCCTGTCTTTAAAAGACATGCCTCTCTGTTTCTTATCATGTATCTTTATTTTTTAAATATGATTTTAGTCTTTTTAAAAGCCCTTATTTAATCTTACTCTTTCATGACATGACATATAGTTGTATATGATTTTTTATGTCCTGTATGTAAAGCAGTACTATAAATTGGTGAAAGCTCAACATTTTAGTATTAAGTAATTGAGACATTTGACCTAGGCTGAGCTATTGTATTTACATTCTTTTCAAATACTTCTGGATGCAATAAATAGTAGGTACTGACAATTTACTTTTATGTTCTTGAGCTGTCATCACTGTGCTGTGCATGTTTGGATTGTACTGTCTGTTGCAGTGTTAAAAGAGTAAAAGGAAACTTCATTTAGTATGAGGATTATATTAACAATTTGCTGTTAGGAGATACAGTACTTGGAAACAGCTTTTCCTTCACTTGAAATAGAAAAGTATTATTTTAAATATAACTTTTATAGTAAATGAAAGACTCACAAATTCCGTGATTTCTCTCACTAAGATGGTGATTCTAGAGGATATATTACATTTTAAACAGTGGAGGCCTGGGGAGAGTGAATGCAAAAATCTTTAAATAGGAATGTGCCTGGTGTGTTGGAGAGACAGCGAGGAAGCTAGTTTTAGTGGCTTAGAATCTAAGTGATAAAGAACAATATCATGTAGTTTCTTATTGGTCACCATCAGGATTTCTGCTTTTCATTTGAGATAGGAGCCAGAGGAATGATAGGACTTAGGTATTAAGAGCACCTTCCAGTTGCTGAAAAAGAGGCAAGGATTGGGTCATTGTTAGTCAGGTGAGTAATAACCATGACTTGGGCTAGAGCGTTAACCACACAGATGGTGAAAAGCTGTTAGTTTCTGTATATGTTTTAGGATAAAGGCAAGGGAATTTGTTGATGGATTGGGTAGATTTGTGAGAGAAATAGAAAAGTAAATGATAGTGCTGAGGGTTTAGGCCTAAATGGTTAGAAGAGTAGAGTTGCCATTTACTTGGGTAAAGGGGAAGTAGCAGGAGATCAGTTCTGGATGTGTTAATTCTGAAATGTGTGTGGGAATCAAATGGCCCTGTCTAGTAAGTACTTGACTAATGTCTAATGGGAGGAGTATGCTGGAGATGTATATTTGGAAGGCTTGGATGAGATCACCAAGGGAGTCAATACCAACAGGAGATAAGTCTTGAACTCTAATCACTCTAAAATGGAGAACCAGCCAAGAAGCCTAGCAAGTCATGGCCACAGAGCAGAAGAGATGCTACATCCTAAACACCAAAGGAAAAAAAAGAGTTCAAGAAATACGTGACCAGCTTAATCAAATGCTATTATTGCTGGGCCCTTTGAAATTAGGGCTGAGGATTGTGCTATTGGATTTACCATTAGAAGTCATTGTTTATCTTGACAAGAGGGACTTTCGTGGAGTTATCAAAGCAAAACCTTGTAGAGGTCATAGAGCACATGGAAAGAATTGGAGGTGACAAGTATAGACAACTTTTTCAAAGAGATTGTTGAAAATGAAAGTAAACAGTGTTGACTAGAGGAAAAAGCTTTAGAGAGTTATTATTACTGCTGCTTCAATGCAGATGCTTCACCTTATATCTAAAATACTATACACATGTATTTCTACAAAATGAATGATGAAAAGGGCCCAATTTATTAAACTCCAGGAGGTGAAGTAAAAGCGGCAAGGAAGCTAAGTTTCAATTT